GAAGCAATGAGCAGTAAGGATGACCATTCCTATTTTAAAGATGAGGAAATGAAGCTCCCAGAGGTTGAATGACTTGTTCAAGGTCACATGACTAGTGAGAGACAAGCCTTCTGTGTCCATCACACCATGGTCACTCCCTTTCAGCTGCTCCTTTTACACCCAAAAGTCTCCTCTAAGTGCAAAGTGCATTCCACTGAGAAGTTCTCTGCCCTTCAGCCTTCCAAGAAAAGTTTGTAGAAGGGAGAAGAGAGAGGGTCTTTGCTGAGTCACGTGCCTTTAGAGAGACAGGAGCAATAATATGGTTTTAAAAGGATGCTAGAAGAATTTTTAAAATAACTACCCATCTCTTAGGGTCACCAGGCCTCAACATGTGTTTTGCTTCCCGCTCCAGATTCCCAGACTCTGCTTCTAGCTCCTCAAGCTTGTCCCATTTCTTCCTTACCGGAATGGAGCTCTGCGTGTACACAACTGAAACCCAGGAGCCAGCACACTACTTAGGCAGGTGCTAAGTATTTGTGAAATGGATGAATGAGTGGTAACCCTGGGCAAGACGCTGCCTTCCCCTCTGGGTCCGTTTCGTCACAGGAACACAGCGGGGATCGGACGGGTGACCCAAATCAAACACTCAAGGCTGTAAGCTCCTTTGGGAGCCTGGGCTGGCTGAGACCCCTATTACCAGGGCGGCCCACTGGCCATGGGCGGGGGTGACACCGTTTTGTCACTACCTGCAGCCCGGTCCGAGCGGGCAACCTCGCCTCGTTGGGGACGAAACCCCAAACAAAGGGAAAGTGCCGAACGCGGGGAGGAGGAGGCTCACGACCACCCTGGAGCTGCCGCATCCCCGTCTCCGCAGCGGGCAGCGGTGGAGAAGGGGCTTCCGGTGTCGACTCCCCACACACACACTCTCAGAACCCCGCCCGGACCCCCACGCCAGGCTGCCACGTACCCCTCGCCGAAAGCTCACAAACTGGAACTAAGCGCAGAAAGAATGACGTCATCGACGCCCGACTAACTCGCATCCCAGCCCTCTGGCTTTTCTAGGCACCGGGAGGTTTCCGCCTGTGCTCGCGAGACTGGAGTCTTTTCGCCCCTTAGCCAGCCAGTCGGGCTCGCCTGCGCTCTGGTCCCGCCTCCCGCCCGCGTTTTGCCCTACTATTGGCTGGGAGGACGAAAGGGCTTGGAGGGTTCAGCCAATAGAAGGAGGACCCTAGAAGGGGTGGAGCCTGATAAAGAGACTTAGGTCTGGCGCAGAGGGGGAACCAAGCTGCTGGGCGGCCTGGGACTGAGGGTCCCTGAGGTCCGTCCCGGCCAGCTCTGCTCTGGCTGCTGAGCGGAAAAGTCATCTTTCCTTCCACAGGTCCCGCGCCTTTCAGTCTCAAAGCTAAGAGACTGTCAGCAGCATATAAAAATTACTTTTGGCCCTAACCGGTTTGGCTCAGTGGATAGAGCATCGGCCTGCGGACTGAAAGGTCCCAGGTTCGATTCTGGTCAAGGGCATGTACCTTGGTTGTGGGCACATCTCCAATAGGGGGTGTGCAGGATGCAGCTGGTCGATGTTTCTCTCTCATCGATGTTTCTAACTCTCTATCCCTCTCCCTTCCTCTCTGTAAAATATCAATAAAATATATTTTTAAAAAAAATTACTTTTGGGGGTCTCCTGTTTGTCAGCAGCATATAAAAATTACTTTTGGGGGCCTACTATACCAGTGTTCCAGGTTGTGCGGATACAGCAGGGAAGAAAATGAGCCCGCTGCCCCATGGAGCTTATCTTCAAGCCAGGAGAGACAGTAACTTGAGAGTTGTCATACTGTTTTTTTATTTTTTATAATTATTTTATTTCATTTTTCATACTGTTTATTGATACCCTTTCTGCACTGTGGATTCACGGAAGGAGCAGAAGCTATGTGGTGTAACTAAAAGATTTCCACACCTATTTCAGGAATATTCTTCAGAAATGTGTGCAAAATAGCTCCGCATGACTGAGTTATTGCTCTCCAAAAACCAAGAGACTCACTCTAACCCATATGAATTTCTTGATGTCAAATAAGAAATAAACTATAACCAAGGCATTCCCACTCACAATGAGTAAACTTTGTAAGTGTAAACTCTCTGATGGGTGATGTTTTCTGTAACAGAATGTTTTCTCACACTTGAACTCAAGAATGGGTTCTTTTCCCAATTTGGAGTCACTGAGGTAAAATAAAGGTTTTTCCTCCTTCAGTTCTTTTACAATAAAGCTGTTTGGAATCAATAGAGAGCATGGAAGGAGGCTCCACTGGATCCATAGCAGTAAAGCTGAGCCCAAAAGGTGAGATACAAAAGCTGGCTCTACATGGAAAGTTTTCAACCACATGAGCAAAACGCTGAGCTATTCCTTCACTTCTCACTGCAGAAGTACATATTAATAATGTAAATTTACAACTCACCTTCTAACTTCAGATCTATTCAGCATTCCAGAAGACCCTAAAGGAATTAAAGGAAAACCCACGCCCCTATTTTGGGGCAAATATCAGGACTGAAAAGCCTTCAAATTGACTAATGTGGGGGAAAATGACATATGAGGTGAATGAAGAGCCTCTACAACTTGAGGCAAGTAAAAAGACATACGAAAAAATATGTTCAAGAAAAACAGGGAAAGAAAGAAAAAACACTTAAGGAAACTCAACTGTAAAACATTATGAAGATGGAGCTCTAAATACAAAAAACAAAAGAGAGTGAAAGAATTTATAGAATACTAGGTGAAACTTTATTCCATCGTTTGACAGCCTGGTAAAATGATGACTTCCAGATATATATTACCAAAATTAACAAAGAGGTAGAAATCTAAACAGCATAACCACTGAAGAAATCAAAATGTTGCTAGATTTGTCCCTCCCAATTCACTCCTCCCCAAGAATGGATTAGACCATTATTTTTACCCTTCAGAGTAATTCCCACATTACCCAAACTCTTCCAAAATACTTTGCAAAGCCAACGAAACATTAATTTCATCTAGTTCTGTATTTTAAAAAAAAATCACCACAAATGCGTTTTATACCAAAAGTGCAAAGAAATTTCATTTATTTGGAAACTTGTCAAAAATATTACAAAAGTAAATGATATGACCCATAAAATTACACCAACAGATTTCTTTTAAAACGTGATAGAATCTAGCTGCCACCCTAATAAAAACAAAGTACAATAATTACTATAGTGTGTACTATGTGCCAAGCACTGGTTTTAAGTGCCTTACAATTACGAACTAATTTTATCCTAACATCCCTATGAGGTCGATTCATTTTATAGATGGAAGAACTGAGACACAAGGAAACCAAGTGACTTGCTCAGGATCACACACCTAAGAAAGTGATGGATTCATGATTGAACCTAGAGTTCAAGGCACAAAAATCTGTATCCTTAACTACGATTCTACATTGCTTCTTCTAAATACAGGAATAGAAGGAAACTTTGCCCTAACCAGTTTTGCTCAGTGGATAGAGTGTCAGCCTGCAGACTGAAGGGTCCCAGGTTCGATTCCGGTCAAGGGCATGTACCTTGGTTGCAGGGATATCCCCAGTAGGGGGTGTGCAGGAGGCAGCTGATCGATGTTTCTCTCTCATCGGTATTTCTAACTCTCTATCCCTCTTCCTTCCTTCTGTAAAAAAACTCAATAAAATATATTTTCAAAAAATATAGAAGGAAACTTCATACATACTATAGAATATATATCAGAAACCAACAATAAAGTAACAGTAAGATTTCCAGAGGTACATGTAGAACAGTGATTCCCAAAGTGGGCGCTGCAGCGATCCAGGGGGGCGGTGATGGCCACAGGTGCATTTGTTTTAACTTTTTTTGTATTACCTTTCTATTCTGAGTTCAATAAATAGTTTCATAATTTCAAACTTCTATGTTTCTAATTTACACCTTTCTTTATTTTACGAAAAAGGTAGAAACATTAATACATATATCTTTCTGTTTAATTGCTATTAAAATTTAAAAAAAATTAATTTCCAGGGGGCGCTGAGTAATATTTTTTCTGGAAAGGGGGCGGTAGGCCAAATAAGTTTGGGAACCACTGATGTAGAAGATATGAGGTCTTTGTATGTGATGTTCTATGATGAGATGCCACTTCCATCTTGAAAAGCTTCTAGTCTGGTGGTGAAGACAGGTAGGTAGATTGTGCCCAATTTAAAGATGGTTCAATTGAAGAATAAGTTTTTAAAATATTATTTGTTAACAACTAGTATATGAAAATTATTTTCTACATACTAAAAGAAATATTTGCCGTACCCAACCTCAAAGACCCTACAACAAATTGGCATGAATGTATACACATAAGGATTAAGTTGAGAATAATTTACAAGGCAATTTAACAACAGTTGCACATTAAAGCACCAGCTAATTTAAAGTACTGAGGTCAAATGAATAAGAGGAATGAAGAAGTGTCTGAAGGTCTTTCACAGATGAGCTGGATCTGAAGGGATCTAGAAATGAGATTGATCTGGAAGATTATGAGGAACATAGATTAGCAAATGGCAAAAAGAAAAGGTTTTCTGAGTAGGGAATACTAGTGATGGGGTCTAGACTGGAGTAGAAGTTTAAAAAGTAAACAAAACAAAAAAGGTAAGGCCCTGGCCAGTTTGGCTCAGTGGATACAATACCAGCCCACGGACAGAAGGGTCCCAGGTTAGACTCCGATTGAGGGCACATATCCCAGTTACAGGCTCAATCCCTGGCCCTGGTCCAGACACATGCAGGAACCAACCAACCACTGTGTCTCTGTCACATCAATGCTTACCTCTCTGTGTCTCTCCCCCTCCTTTCCACTCTCTAAAAGTCAACAGAACCCTAGCCGGTTTGGCTCAGTGGATAGAGCGTAGCCTGCTGACTGAAGGGTCTCAGGTTCGATTCCAGTCAAGGGCACATGCCTGGGTTGTGGGCTCGATCCTCAGTG